TTTATGAGCCCCACGCTCCCACAACTCATCTCAGTCTGATTATTCTGGCAGATAACACTGGGCTGGTCTTGGGTTAGTGCATTGCAAGGGGCACGGCCACGAACTGCAGCAGCTTTCTGTTTTACTCAAGCTTTCTTTAATCGCTACATCAGATGAAAGAGATGGCGATTTTACTGAAAAGGAAGAAAACTCAAGAGCTACAACTAAATTAAAACCCAACCATCAGAAAACAGGAAACTCACTTGTATCAGAGCGCTGGTATTATCATGAATAGATAGTTGCATATTTCTTTCTAAATTATCTTCTAATCCTTCCTAGAGCAACCAAACCTAGAGGTGGGAGGAAACCTCTTCAGTCATCTAACTGTGGTTTAGGCAGAGAAGTTTGTCCTCCAATTTACCTAAGTGTTCTGCTTATCTTAACCAACGCGAGTATCGCAAGTTTTATTAACTTCCATTGTGAACCTTCTGCAATTTCTCTTATTTGCTTTTACCTAAAACTTCATACTGCTGTTTATCAAAAGCTTTACCCAGACTGCATTCTTCCTGGTGATTCCTGACGTAGCTGTACCCGTGTAGGTGTGCGGTGCTCAGCGGTGCACTCGGTGCAGGTTCCCCTAGGCATTCCTCCACAAGGCACCCGTCTCCTGCACAGCCACACATCACTCATTTTATAGTTTGCAATCTCACCTCACCTCCACCTAATTTACACTTTTGTTTCTACCTGTTCAGATCCCTTATTCTTACTGATGATTATCACTTTACAGTCAGAAAAATGGAGATCTGTGATAATCAAAGTTTTAAGGCCTGAACTCTCTTTACAGCTGAGATTAAAAGGGACAGAGAAATCCACAGCTGAGTCATGCCATGAGTTCCTGTAACAATAAAATGCCACTGCAAGCAATAACCAACCCCAATAGATTTATTTCCACTTTTTGTTTCTTCTCTTGGCCAGATTACACCCTTGATAACAGACAGGACTGTTGCCCTAGATCTCTGTGCCCAGATCCTCTTACTTTGCCGCTTCAGCAGTGAGGCAATAGGAGTCAAAGGCAGAAGGGCATTTTTAGGGCATTGCTGTATCCCTCAAACTGTCAGCAGATGTACTCAGCGGGCTGAGGAGCAAAAAGACTGGTTTACAGCTCACTCCCCACAGCCTGGGAAAAGCGCAGCACCCAGGGACACGCAGCAGGCACCCAGGCTCTCCTGCAGCACCTCACCTGGCGAGGCCACCTGGCTGGCCCTGCTGTGGAAGAGCATAAAAGTAGAAAAAATGGCCTTTAACTGCACTCCTGTTCAGGGAGCTGTCCCACTGCAGGTAATCTGCTGGTTGGCTCGCTGTGAAAGAGAAATCTGAGCACGCTGCAATTCAAAATCCAGTGCGAGGTATCAGCCTCGCCTATCAGCAAGGAAATCTCCCGTCCATTCTGCCCTCTCCCACAGGCACCCTCTGCAGACAACACGGCACATTTTGGCAGGTGAGAGGATTAACTGATGGAATCATTACACCTGCCGAAAGACGACTGAATTAAAAACACAACACTATAGACATACCTTAAAAATAGGTTCCATACTGTGAGTTACTCAGAAAAAAATAAATCCTGTACAAATACTTCAATAAATTGCTGGTGTAGGGTTTCTCCTAATCTCTGCCTTACCAGCATCTCACTGCAGCTCTGATTCACACAATTCTCCCAGTCTGTCTTGTTTAAGACATCTACATGTCAGCAAAAAGTTTGGAATAAATAGGAACATTATTTTTTTTTTTATACAACCCTTATACTCACAGAATTTGGGACTACAGAATACTTATTATTAGCCAGGACAGACTACACCTGGATAAAACGTCACGCAGAAGGGCACAGGCAATGAGGAAAAATAGAAGATTTCCACGAGGAGAGCTGCAGAAAGCCTGCGTGTAGCAGCCCGGTGGCTCCAGCCACTTTTCATTCAGCCTGAATTCTGCTGCATCACATCAGCTCCGGCAGTGTCTGAATCCCTCTCCCAGACCGCTCGCACCCCACAAGACGAGCAGTGCACGCAGGCGACCGGGCACTCAGCTCCGCAGAGAAGGCACGATTCACAACTTAATAACGCATCCGTTCAATGTACAGCGCTCTTGATTGAGGGAAACCACAGTGTATTTTAGGTTATGGGAGCCTCTGTTTTCCTTATATCGTATCGAAACCAGCACTGAAAAGCCCCACGGCCTGGGAGCCGCCTCCGAGCTGTGTGTGTGGGGAGTGAACGGGGGGCGAGCCCCCAGCCCGCGCCCCCTGCTCTCGGGGCTGGTCTTGCTGCACTGTTCATGCAGCCGTTTGCAAACGAGTATTTCCCTAAAAGGCAGCCTGACAGCCCAGGATCTGGCTAAACCACATGTTTACCTCAGCAATCAGACACACCGCTGGACAGCCGGCCTTCCATTTTAAGCAGGCCGCAGTTCCTCACGCATCTCCCCGTCTGCCTTGAACACATCGCTCTTGATAACCCTGACGGAGCTCCCAAGAGTCCTTTCCAGGAGCTGCTTTTCAATAAACTCACACACGTACCAGCACGCTGAGCAGTCTCCCCTCCTTGCTCATCAGCATCACCCTCTGAGGGCTTGGTGTCCTGCTGGGGCTGCCGGGTTTCCCCCACTCCCCAGGCAGCAACACAGCCCGATCTGTCCCCTCCCTGATGACCTCCTGATGTGGGTGGATCAGCACCTTCTGGCAAAATGTGGCTTTTTGGAAACTGCTTGCACTGAGAAGTTTTCATGGTACTTCAGACAGAGCCATCCAGCTTGGTGCTGCTACGTAACGACACGGCTTTTCCACCGAGCCACAAATGAAGATAAGTGCGCTGCTACAACTTCCAGACCCGGGCTCTCGCTGGTGTTAAGCCCTACCACAAATCCATGCTGAAGATTATTTTGGAAACGGCTTGAAATACAGCATTGTATTTACAAAATGACACACTCAGAGGAGATACAAATGTAATCCTCAGACTCTGCGCAGCTGAACAGCTCCTGCAGAACCGCAGCCGGGTATGGCAAACGCTGAAGGTTGCTTTTCATTTATACACAACATTTGGCATCCTGCACACCTTACAGCACTTGCCTCGGCTTGTTTTTATTCCTTGCTGTAGTACAAGTGACCTGCTCAGGGATCCTGCTGGACACCCGCACGTGACAGCACAGGAGGAAGGTGTTATGCCGAGTGCCCAGACCAAGGCCACCCAGCTCACGGCCATATCGGGCCATTTTGGGCCACCTGGTGCATTTCTGACACCATCAGTGGACTGCCTAACACAAGACCCAGGAAGGCAACAGGGGGCAGGGGCAGAAAAAGAGAACCAAGGAAAGCTGGGGTTCAAGATGGGAACTCTAGACTGAGATAGAAAGCACGCAGATAAGCATAAGCGTATGAAGTGGAAAGGAGGAAGAGAAAACAAGATACAAAAGCAAACAAGGACCCAAATGTGTTAAAATTGTCAGCATCACACCTGCACTTCACAGGCTCGGGATAAATTACTGCAGTCCACACATCACAGTCACACTGACTGAGGTATATGAAGATCTCTGGTTTTATTAAAGGTGTCTAGGGCATAGGAAGCTTTCAGTGTTTGTTTTTTACCTGGAAAAATACATTAAATACGTTTAGGAACACAGCATATGTTACTTAAACACAGCCAGAGAGGACGGCTGGTGCGACAGAGCACAGCGCCTGCACAACTCTTTAATTTGTAAGCAAAGACAAAGCAAATTAAAGGAATCGCAGACTACGCCCATGTCCTTTTGTTTCTCCCATCATTTTCTCTGCCTTCTCCCACATTTCTACAATAATTGATTTGGTCACTTGAGCAAACAAGTGCCTTGAGCTCAGCTCTCCTCTGCTCACCCACACACAGAGCTACCTGTGCTCGCCCACTCCCCACCTGCCCAGTAGGGCACAGGAGCCAGCCCCAGCCCCAAAGCAGCACCCTGGCAGCATCAGGGCCAGGACCAGGCACAAACCGGGAAATTAACACGCCCCCCAGCCAAGAGAGCTCCTGTGTACCCACAGAAAGGTCCCTGCAAAATGACATCGCCAGTTTCCAGCTGAATGCCATGAATTGCCCCCAAAAGTTAATCCCTGTGTTCATTTTTACAGTCCCCTAACGCGCAGAATATCGCCGCGCAAACAGCAGGATTTCCCAAGGTATGGTATTTCCCAATTTGTCGTATTCCTCATTTCTCAGTCCCTCTGTGTCTCCTTCCCAAGTTTTCTCACGGAGCTTGTAACACCCCGGGGAAGGAAGCGGGGTGAGCAATGTCATTGCCTCCCAAGCTGCCAGCCCCGACACCGCGCAGATCAGAGGCGGGCAGCGGTTCAGCAGCCCCGCAGCATCACGCACAGCACCCAACTCCTCCGAAATAAGCAAAAGGAGAGGGACCTCAGGAAATGGCACTCAGGGCTCCCCTCTTCCCATTACACACCGCCAGTCAGGTTCACAGCAGACACCCCACGACCCGCAGGGCACAAGCGCAGCGACACCGGCTCCTTAGGGGAGCCAGCTGAGAGTTGCCCTTGCCTTGCTCCCTTGGAGGCTCGGCTGCGTTTTCCCCGCGTGTGAAGCAAAACCACGAGCAGGAGAAAAACCACGAGCAAGGGAGGAGAAGCCGCAAAACCCCCCCGCTTTGGGCAGCGCTCCAGGATCACTGCCATCCCAGCCCCGTGCGAGCCCTCCCCGCGGGCTGCACCCACAAACTTCTCGGGCGGAGAGCAGGGGGACCCTGCCGGGCTGCGAGCAGATGGGGGGGGCCCGCACATCCCCAGCACCCAGCCCCGACCCCCCCGGGCCGGCCCCGAGCCCCCCGCGGACACGCGTGGGGAGGGCGGCACGGGGATGGGGACCCCCAGCGCGCTGCCCCACAGCCGGGGGGGGCTCCGGGCTCCATCCTCCCGGCTCCCCGGTCCCTGCTCCTTGCTCCCCAGTCCCTGGTTTCCCCCCCCAGCCCCTCGCCCCCCCGGCCCCGCTCACCCTCGGGCTCTCTCTCGCCCCCCGCCGCCGCGGCGGCGGCTCGGTTGGGCCGCCCTGGCGCTCTCCGGCCCGAGGCGGCGGCAGCCAGGCAGGAAATTTTTTCCTCCTCCTCCTCCTCCTCCTCCACCTCCTCCTCCTCCTCCTCCCCTCGGCACCGAGCGGCCGCGGAGCCGCCTGGCGGCCACGGCCCGCATCGGCCGCCCGGGGGGGCTCCGAGCCTCGCCCCAGCCCCGGCTGGTTCCTGGGGGACCGGGGGAGCCCCCATCCAGCCCCCATCCCGCAACCCCCAAAGGGGGCTTCGTGGGGTCCCCCCCCATGCCTGCCGAGGGATGCCGGCGCCGAGCGGTTCGGCCCCGCTGCCCGAGCATCTCCGAGCATCTCCGAGCATCTCCCTCCTCCCTGCAGGGGCTTAGGGCACGGCTGGGTGCTCGCCTCCAGCCGGGGTTTGGCCCCCGACCACCTTTCCCCAGGGCTCTGCTGGGGCATGGCTCAAGGGGACCTGAGCATCCTCCCGGCTGCAGACGCAGGTCCCCACCGCCAGCCTCTCCCTATCACCAACGGGGCATGGGGTGGCCACCAGTGGGGTGGGAGCACCTTATTGGGGCCCTTCGTACCCATTTGCCCCTCCAGAAAACCCCTGCAGCAGCCTGGGCTGCAGGAGTCAAGGCGGTGAAACCCGGAATAGAAACATCAGGCTGAAAAGTAGGGCAGGGAGGAGGGGATTGATGAAAGAAAGGAGAGAATCAAGGAGCCTAAATTCACGTCTTGCCTTCTTTTGTCTCCAGTCCCTAGGATACCTCATCCCGAAACTGAGGAAATCTTCCCGTGGAAGAAACCTCTCCTCCAGGAGGTCTCTTCCAGCCTTTATGATTCTGTGACTTGCACACGTGTGACTCTCAAAAACCCATGTCCATGTGCACCGTGTTGACTTGAAGAGCACCAAAGGATGGCAGATAACCAGGGACTGTGGCAAAGGGCCGTCAGACCAAAATATTGCGGCACCTGTGAATATTTCTGTCTTCTGCAGAAAACTTAATTGTATCATAACAACATCCCTTTGGCATCACGTTGACCAGGAGGCAGCGATTTACTACAACACTAAATTTTTTCAACAGAAATAGAGGCACAAGTGGGCACAATACCAGGAAGGTGTTTGATTTCAATGAACACGTTTGTAGATCGAGTGACTTCAAGTCAGCAATTTTCTTGCGAGTAACTATTTACAAGAAATTGTATACAAATTTGAATGGCTGCTTACATCCAAGCAATAAAATAAATGGGATTACTATGAATATTGGATAAAATTACCACTCTGTATTACTGCAGAGATTAAAGTCCTATTTTATTGTGGTTCAAAAATTAATATGAAGCCAAAGATGTACAAAAAAGAAACAAAGACAATGCACATGATAGTTATTAATACATTACTTGGGGAAAAGAGATTTCCTGTAGGCAATGGGAATATCTAAAAAAATAGTACAAACGTGAAAAAAAGCTGTGAAAGAAGCTTGGGTGGCCTGTATACTGCATACAAGCCCTGTGTCATTGCAGCACGGGGCACAGCTCGCACATGATGTCCCCGAGGGCTGAGGGAGCAGGAGGCCATGGGCACAGCCCTCAGGGGCTCACACAGTCACTCTTGCTGTAGCACCTCCTGTACCCAGGACACTTCCAACCCCTTTTTAAGGGGCTGATGTCTTCAGGGTACACTAACAAGCTGCAGGCAGATAGCAGCCAGTAAGCCTCAGGCTTCAGTTGCTGGCTAGTGTGAAAAAAGCAAAAAAAACATATGTTCTCTGATGCAGTGCTTTATCCAGACAACTAGGATGAGACCGCAAAAAGTCCAGGATCTGGTGATCTGAAGAAAGAAGCCCCTTTAAACCTGTTGTCAGTGGTCTCCAGACAGGGCCAGAAGAGAGTTTATGCTGTTGTAAAAAGGGCAGAGCATGAAAAGCGAGGCTGTTATGGCAGAATTCAGCTATGTTGACAGAGCATGCTTGCTTTATCATAAAAATGAAAGTAAAAAATCAAGAAATTAGAAAACTGAAAAGCTGAAGCAAAAATAAGGTAACGACCCATAGCTGTTTGCATGTGTATCCTGACAGAGCTCCAGCAGTGGCCTTTCTTTGTCCAGCTCACGGCCCACTGGTCATCTGTCTTGTCCTCTCTTTCCATCACGGATCAGACACGCTCCCAGCAATGTCATCTCTTTGGCAACCGTCCTGTCCTCCCTCCCAACCTGCCCGAGGAGCCGCCAGACCTCCTGCAGGACCCGACACCCGCAACCTCTCCTTCCCCGCTGTGCCAACCCAGTCCTTGTGGCAGGGGTGGAAACGTCCCCGCGAGCAATCACAGGCCCTTTGCTGCTCTCCGGTGTCCTCTTGGCTTCGAGCTAAAGAAACGCAGGATAAGAAATACACAACAACATTTTAATGCCAATAATTTATTTCAAGTATTCCAGCATGGTACTGAGCCTCATAGCAGGAAGAAAGGCAAAATTGTTTCCTGCTGTCTGGACAATGCCTGTAAAAACAAAAGACAGTAACGAATGATCACAGCACCAGAGAAAGGATTTCAAGGAGGAGCATCAATACTCCTATTAAAGTATGTGACAGAGAATCTAATCCTTCCCTTGCCTTCACTTAGAGAAAAGCTCTCAAGATATTTGCAAGGCTTTCACATTTACTGGTAAGTGCCCGTTATACACTGGGTAGCAGCACAGTACATCAGTCTCCTTCCCAACATGCTGGAACACAAATTGTGAACGTGCTGAAGAAATTATAAAATCAGGGAGCACAGCAAATAACAGATACAGGCATCAGTTTTGTAGCTGCAAATATATCTCAGATGAAAAATACAGGATAAATTCTCTAAAGCACATATAATTGAGAAAAAGCGCATGAATACATAACATCGCAGCAGTAGCTAATTTAATGACTTCAAAGATGTATTTGGCTAAGATTTTTACATTTGGAGTCTGAAAGTATAAGTATCTGGGAATATATTTAAGTATTCAGGGCTACATATCTTTATAATTGTTACAGAATTTGCAATAAATTAAAGCCTGCTCTGCCAGCTCTTCTCTCTGTTTCCACCTCCAGGATTTGTTCTAAACATTACAAACCTTGAAGCAGATCAAAGCCACGTTTTATTAAATTGAAAAAAAAAAAAAATTGCAACAGTGGTATTTTCTGTTTCATGCAAGACCAGAGAGTGTTTTTTTTCTCACCTTCAATAAACAATACTGGGCCACTCAACTTGCAGCATTCAGTCATGAATAACAGCAGCTTTTTGATGCCTAAGATTTTTATGTTTTATTTATTTATTTATTTTAAAGTCCAGTCATCTTTGGGCCATGGAAGCGATACCCTCGGATGTCTTCAATGCTTTAATGGCACTCAGCTGTTTTGGTAGCTGAAGTCACTAGCATTTGGGTATAAAGAAAAATAAATGGGAAACATCTCTATGTTTTCAAAGGTTGATTTTTATTTATTTATTTTTTTTAACTTCTTACTTTACCAGAGTAGACTACACTATCCTTTCCAAACAGCTAAGAACTTTAAGAAGCTGGTACAGCCACATGCCCAAGCAACCACACACACAAGTCCCAGTTGGGCAAGGAGCTCAAAAGACAAAGCTGAACATGACTTCTTCTCTCCCAGGATGAAGCACATTCAGCCATGAGCTCCTCGGATGCCTGAGCACAAAACACAGTTGCATTATAATGCTGTTTGGGAGTAGCACAGATTGTGCCTGAGGATACCAGAACAAACACCAGCCAGCTCGCTCAGATGGTGAAACTGAAGGATGCTCGTACAGGAGGCGATCATTTTAAAAATGGATTTTGCTCATCGCATTTCCACTGATACCAATGTGGTGGCTGTGGGATCTTCTGCCTTTTTTTTTTTTCTTTCTATCAACACAGAAACCAACAGTCGCTGCTTCCGATAGCTGCTCAGATGAAAGGATGCTGCTCTGGAGGGGCCGGAGGCAGCGTAATATTCCAGCTGTCACTCCAGGGCTTACCAATACCCTTCAACGTCAGAGCTCAGGAATCAATAACTATCTAGTGATGGAGTTCTCAGTTGAGAAGATTTAGTCATTTTCTGGGAAGAATTCCAAGCGGCATTTGAAACGTGTTTGTTTTTCTTTCAACAGTGCTGTAAAAAAGATCAGAGCAATAGAAGAAAGAAGTCGGAGGATGTAACAGTACAAATCCACTGCACAGCGGCACTGGGAACAGACACACAGAAAAAGTATCACATCCAAGTTTCCCAAACAGTTGTTGCAATAATTTTGCAGTTCAGTTGAGCTTCAAATTTTCATCTCCAGCATCTCCAGCTACAATAAAGTTCACGAAGCCTTATCCGATTTCCCTCACCCAGTCCAAGAGGCATAAGCAGATTCCTATTTCCACCACCTCTCAGAAAGCTGGCTGCAAAGCTACCAGGAAAAAAAAAAAAAAAAAAAAGAAAAAAAAAAAATCAATCTCTTTCTTAGTATTCTCTATTACATTTATAGCAAGTTGTTTCAATTACCTTTTGTCCAGCTTAGAAGAGGCAGAAACAATTAATAATGCCTGGCCTGATCCTGCAATGCTGTGCACACGTGGAGCATTATCGACCCCCTTTTGGAGCCAAGAGCAGCCCAAGGACTTGCCATCTTAGCTACTGTGCTCCTCTGCAATTAGATGTGGAAAAAAAGGAAACTAAAAAGAACATAAAAGCTTTGTGTGATCTGCCAGAGGGCACCTCAAAGGTGGAGTCTGGGGAAAACTGCAAATACCAACGCACCTGCCAGCCAGACACAATGCTAGATTCACTTGCCTTATAACATTTTTCTAAACAGAAGGTTTTAACCAAATATGGAATTTTATAAACTGCCAGCAACAGTCACTAAATGCTGAGGTTGCAATAGAACAGAAACTGACCTGCAGTGGCTTCACCGTGACTTTTCCCCAGCTGTGCTGGGCACGGATGAGCGCACTGACCTGCGAGCAGCTCTGCTGGGGCTGCTGCAGCCGGGGGGTCCTCCGCCCAGAGAAAGCATTTGCAACATAGGAAAAGAAATAACCTATGAAATGTCATAAGCCACCACAGGAAAATGTCTTTGGGTTAGCTAAAGGAGGCTGTGTAGCCTGGCCAGAGACCATTCACGTAGCCTTGGTTAGCAGGGGCACGGGGTATTCCCTGCCTGGATCAGCACCAGGCTTGAACACTCAGTTTATAAGTAAAAGCTTTCATTTTATATTTTTTATAGCAGATCTGGATGCCTGGAGCAAGCTAACTTGTACATAATTGTAAGATAAATATATATTCCACCTTTAAAGATGCAGGGCTCTATGCAATTTTATCCCAAATCTATCTGCTGTCTGTGACAGTGAATTGCCCTGACTTCTCTGGTCGACTGCTGTGCAGGACGGCGTCCTCACTGGCTGCAGCAGAGCTGGTAAGCTGCTGGTGGGGAAACATTTTATCCCAGCTGGAGGAAACCAATCTCTTCTCTTTTCTCTGAAGTGATGAGGCGTGTCATGTCAAACTACAATTTCCATGTGAGTGCCTGATCTGGAGGAAGGCACAAAAACGCTGCCACTGGAGGAGAAAGCTCCTTGCACGGAGCTAGCCTGCTGCGAGGACTCGGCCACTGCTCTGGCGAGCCCCTGGACCCATTAATGTAATCCTTCAGATTTAGCAGGAGCAGGCAGCACCACGTTGGCTAGCGATGGTTTCACTCTGGAGGGGTTGTGAAATGCATAAGCAATGTGCAGAATACACGTTATACATTGCTTTTTAGGTAGCTGTGAGGAGAAAAGATACAAGCAATTGTACCATCATAAAAGGATAGATTAACTACAAGGTAACAAGAAAGGAAAGGGAAAATTATGAGCTTATTTGCAGGGCGATTCCCCCAGCCTCAGGAGATTTTCAACAACTTGAGCCACAAAAATTTGAGCATAGCCACTGGAAAGTAAAGATCATTAACATTACGTGGAGAGAAAGTACAGATCATCTCCTGCAGCTCTTAGTCTCTTATTTAGCATTTTTAAAGGCACAAAAGCAAATCCAAGTGAGCTGAGTATGTGCCAAAGGAAGACCACTGAGCAGCAGTTTCAAATGTCTTCCCTCAAATTTAGTACCATGACAAAGATTTCTAGTTAAATTTGTATCTTTTAAATGCATTTCATAGAGGGGCAAGTGGCACAGATGAATCAGTACAGGAACTTCTCCTTTTTAACAGAAGTTTCCTGGGAGAGGACCAGCAGCACCTCCCTGGGCACAGAACCACACAGCAAGGAGAATGGCTGGGATAACAAACCCAGTGACCAGTCTGATGAAGTCTACCCGTATTTCTGAGGTTAAAATTTAACCGGAGGTCTGGAAGGAAAATGGAGACGGGTCTTTTGTTTCTTATTTGCTTAGGAGGGCTGAAATGCTTCCCTTTGGTCTTCAGTGCGTAAATCATATACTGAGTGACATCATCTATGTACATATGCAAAATCTGACTATATATGAGGTATATACATGATTTATAAACAAAATAAAAATAAATTCAGAAAAGTGATGACATCAGAAGTATAAGTTAAGTCCCATATAATAAGGTATATACACACAAGGCCATATCGTATGAAAGCCCAGTTATACATCTCAGAAATAAAATGCACTGATTTCAAATCTGATTACTGCTTTAAAGCTTTGAAACAAAAAATCCTAACACTAAAACAATTACAGCATTACTGGATTCCCAAACAGCCATTTTCTCCTCCTGAGAAGTTCTTTGCCTTTTCAAATTCATGAAACTTTAATCTCTCCTAATCTTTGCCATACAAAACAGGTGAGCTTCAGGAATACATCTCAAGAGGCTAGTTTAGCAGCACTGTTGAAAGAGACTGCTTTCCAAAGGTTAGATTCTATGATTCTATGAAAAATCAAGGTGATTCAGAAGCACGGCTTCAAGACAGCATGTAATAATGATGTTATAATTAAAAGAAATAAGAGCTAATAGAATATTTTTACTTTATCCTGACAAGAGATACTAAATCAGGTTTCACACTTCAAACAAACAAAACAGGAAACTGAATAGCCAGCTTACTTAAAATTCTAGAAATTCAGCTTCAATCTTATTAATAAACAAAGTATTTTCTGGTTGAAATCATGATAGTGGTGCCTTGTCTTTTTTTTTTTTCTCTTTTAAGTCAATTTGGGCAGAAATACTGTTCTTGCTCTGTAGCCCAGGGCAGATTTCCCTCAGTATTTCTTCCTTTACCTACCCACTACCACACTGAAATGAGTCCCTATTTAAGGTATTTGTTTCCTCCCTGTAGAGCACTTAGGCTCACTAGCAAATAATGCATATTTCATGTCTGAGCTGAACAAGAGCTGAAGGCTGAAAGCCCCATTGGTAGAGTGCAATCAAAGATCATTACACATTTAAAGCAACTGATGCTTAGAGAAATTAACTGGAACTTAGCAGAGTCCAAACAAACAAAAACAAAACAAAGCCAAAGCAAGGAAAAGGGAACACTTATTGTGGGGAAACACATGGAATTTAATTAGGAATTAAAGCTTTTCCTTAGAAAATAACTTGTTGATACTACAGAGAAACTCCTTACCCTCAAGGAGCCTGGAGCAACCCAGACTTTTTGCAAAGAGCATCAAGTATTTAAGAGGCCTCAGAAGAGAGCTGTTAAGCAGGAAGGGGACCTGGACAGAGAAAGAACATTTATCAATCCTCACCATAACAAATCAGAATCTATCCCTCGTTTTCAAAGTGGTCTAGATATAGAGCTAGCAACAATTGCTTCTCAACTAGGTATGAGCCTTTCATGAGAAAAGGCAAGAACAATAGGGAAATATTGTTGGGAAAAAAAAAATTTCTAGAAAACAGCAGGTGAGCTGGGAGACGTGGACCTGCTGTCTCTGGGCTCCAGCAAAGCTCTGGAGATCAGGGATTTGAGCAGCTCGGCCTCCCTTGGTGCCTCTCATGGGGCAAAGCCACACCAGTAAGCCCAGTACGTCACTATTGATGGCAGCCCTGGTGGCAGATCCCTCCCGGCCTTTGTCAGGGGAGTTTGATTGCAGCCATGGCAACGCCTTTCCTCCAGACCAAAGTTCAATTATTTTACATTTTTATTACTGCTGCCGTTTGCTTAAAGTTTACCAGGATAGCGTTCAGCTAGCACGCAGAGCAGATTCCAGGGAGTGAAAGGAGAAAACCACCTCACGCCAAGCAGGGCTGAAAGGAAGAAAATCCCCTGAACCCGTGGAAAATTTCTGTCTGCCAAAATGCCGACCAGAGAAAAGAAACTCATGTTTGGAGCTGCTTTTTTAACCAGCGTTTTATCTTTCGTGATCATTTGTGTCGTTCTCGGAACCCAGAGATGGATCAGCAGCACAATCTACTTTTCCCAATCAAACAGCAGCACTTCGGTAACCATCATCTACGGACTTTTCAGTGGCACCTGTGCCTCGAAAATCGATGCTGGAGTTCAGTTTTCAGGCGGTAGTTTCCAAGGTAAGTGGTGCGATGCCTGGCGATGGAGGGCAATGGGCAGGCTGCACGGGGGCACCCATAGGAGCAACCCGGCCTTTCTGCACCCGTTTGGGGTTGTAAAACATTGAGGGAACGCAGGAATATCTACAGACCAGCTCAGGGATTTAAGTGGTGTAAAATCAGACCCCAAAATAGTAGATAAATGCTGAAACACTCTTGCTGATAGCACCTTCTGATTATCTGTGACCTTAACCTACGCCTCTGAAGAAGTTAAAAATACAGGGTAGGAACTCTGTGTGAAATAGATTTTAATTTTCAGAAACTCTAAGTGAAAAATAGGAAAGCAACACTCTATTAGCATTTCATTAAAGGATTACAAACCTCATTTGGTTTTCTTTAAATTTCATTATGTTAAATTAATTGTTTGATTTAAAACATTTTGCCACCTACGATCAAATTAGCATCATTTTAATAGAAGAAGGTTCTGAGAGGAACTGCTTAAGGGAGAAGAACCAAAAGTGTAAAGCTAATTTAGACAGATAGGGTGTTTATACTTGTGTTTGACCTAAACTTAAGGAAAGTATTCCTTTTATTTCTTCTTTCAAGACCATCCCATTCCAGTTTTAAGTGATATTATTAAACTGAAGCATTTAATATTTTCAAAATTTTTGCTTGCTCATCTCTTTTTTTTTTTTTTTTAATATTAGTCTATGAAGTATGTAATGCAACATAGCTCATCTTTTATAAGGCCTTTCTTTCCCCACCCAAGGCATAGTTTTCAGGTGACGCCTCCTCATCACGACTTTCCAAAAATATCTAGGATAAGATTTTGAATCCAGGCTGTTAGAATAGCACTTCAGCAAAACAAAACAAAAACAATAAACAAACAAAAAACAACCACAGATTCAAATTAAATGTTATCTTTTGTTGATATGTAACATGGCTTTTTTGTGCACCTACGGTTCTTAGTATTTATCCCCAGTGGTAAAATTCTTACCAGAAGGAGAAAAATTAAAATGGTTAAATGATTAAATAGATACAAAGAGAACAGAACAACTGAGGGACTAGGGAGGAGAGATGCTACACAGGAATAAAACAAAGGTAAAAAATAAGGGGAAAAGTAGAAGGGGGCTTACCTAGTGTGACATTTGAGAAAGTAATGACAGAAGCATAAAAATCCTAGTATGTGGAACAAAACATGAGAAAAAGCAGAAGAGAAACAAGCAGTGATACATACCAAATACAAACCGCAGACTTGATTCTGATTTCACTCAGGGAAAGCTCCCCAGGGAAGTGGTCACTGCACCGAGCCTGACTGAATTTAAGAAGAGATTGGACTGTGCACTTAGTCACATGGTCTGAACTTTTGGGTAGACCTGTGCGGTGTCAAGAGTTGGACTTGATGATCCTTAAGGGTCCCTTCCAACTCAGGATATTCTATGATTCTATGATTCACAAAGTTCAGCCAAGATGCATTTATGCACAAGTCTCTCTGCCTATGTTAACAGAAATACTCCAAAAGCCCAAAGGTAGATAAACCTGGACACTGCTGCAAGGTTCAAGGATTTGCACCCATTTTCTGTATCTTTGCTGCACTTTGGGTTCAAAGCTGTAATGCCTATACGCACCTCTGAAAGTGAAAAAAGGCAGTCAAAAGAAACCTAACTACAATTTGGAAGACTATATCAGATAGTTTTGAAACATGAGATGTACTTTAAGATTTTTATTTTTTATTTTTTTTTTCTTTTTCAGTAGGCTGTAGTCCATCACTACGAGCAAATAAACCACCCAGGTAGAACAAAGCAGATCTAAGCCTATGGAAGGTTCCCATCTCCCAGCTCTTTCCCATTGCATTTAGTACAGAAATTGTATCTGTAAAACAGGCACCCAAATTACCACAGTCACAGAGCTATACCGTGCAAGTAGCGATCAAATTTAATGAAAAAACTGAGTATAGCAGTGTTCCTAGTAAAGCGTATAGAAAATATTGAGATCACTGCCTAACAAATGTAAAATCACAAGTCATTCAAGCCAATGTATTTACAGTCATATCGGAATAATCAGAGTAATTTTTAGAAAATCAAATATACACTTATAAAAATAGTTTATAGATGATTATATCTCCTCATGCCAGTTGGCTCTAGCCCCAGACTTTGCTCCATGCAGGCAGGCTCTTGCTGATTTTAATAGGGTGCCATGTGAAAACAGGAGTCCACCCATGCAGAGCTGATGGCAGGGCGGGGATGCAGTCTGGCAGGAATTTGGGGCACGTGTCTTGTCTTTCCTTGCACAGGAACTAACACCAGCAAATCCCAGGGTCTGGGCACTAGCACCCTGTAGATTTTAATCACAGTTATAACAAGCATCAGTAAACAATTCAATTCTTTGCATGGTCTATGTTCATTTGGTTTTTGGAGGTGATTTTTTCTCCAGATTTAATTTTTTGTGCTCTTCATTTAGGAAATGTCATCATGATTCTCACATATAAGCCATTTATAGATGAACAAATCAAGTGAGCTTCAGGAATTGCTGGCTGTTTTCAACAGCTGCTGAAAGAAATGCTTCATCCGTAGTCTAAATGAAGATTTGCCCTCATCCTTCCCCAGTTCAGTCAGGTGTACCTTCAAGATAAAATAAACTCATTTAAAATTAATTCTTCGGCTCTACGCTAGGTACAATTGCCACATTTTGTATAAAGTAGGATTTCAAGCATTATTGAAACAGGAGAAATACTTCACAGAACTGCATGCATACATACTATTTTATGAACTGAAATAGCCAGGTTGTCCTAAGACAGTAGGATGTCCTTTAGTAAATGGATTGCCTGTACTATGGAGAAACGAATTGTCATGAATTCTCCACTCTGACATCTCAAGCAGCAGCAGGAAGCATTATGAACACCCTTATACAGCACAGCATGATCTGGCATTCAGCAAGCATGCCCTGATGAGGTCTCTGGGTGTTTTCCAGATGGCACTTTCGTATTTGGGTGTAAATCAAGGAGAATGAATGGAAGTCACAAAATAAATACTGAAGAGTAATTCAAAGAAGATACGTTGACTACTTGTTAGCAATAGTCCTGGTTGGCTCCAGTAAAAGACCATATGAAAGCAGATTATCAACAGCCTTTACAGAAACAACGTTGTTTTCAAAAACCACACAATGGAAAGAAATTTTTGAGCATAAACATGAAAGACAAAAAAAAAAAAAAAAAAAAGGAGTACAGATTCCACAAGTATACAGTGCCTGAGTGGCATGGCCAGGGCAGACCTGGGGACGAGCAGCATGATCTGGCCAAACATAGACATTAAGTAACGTCATTCCTAGAGCCTTCATTAGCCTCTTTAGTCATTTGTCTCCGAAAGGAACAACCTATTCACGTAATAGGTTGCACAAGGGCTTTTACAACTGTGCTCATTTCCAAGTCAAACACATAAAAACAGTGAGCAAGGTGCAGGGAACGGCACGCCCGGGGAGCCCATCAAGTCGGGTCAGCTGGGCATCAGCAACCAGCGAAATAACCCACACCCAAGGAAGTCTCAGAGATTCACTACAGCAGAGGAGAATCAATTCATTTTCTATATTCAAAAAAAGAAAAAAAAAAAAAACTTGAAAATTGGTGGAACCAGAGTATTCAACAAAGTTCCCATCAGTTTCCAGGTAACCTCATAAAAAGTAAAAAGTTAATTTTAACTTTTTTTTTGTGTTTAAATGAGCAATTCATTCTGTGTGATAAGTGATCAGAGATCAGTGAAAGCTGCTAAATCTACACTGCTTCAAAAAGACATTAAGGCTGGCTTGAAGTCTTTAAGCCATTCACAAACAAGTCACTAAAAACTTGGGAAATTGAGTCTGGCCACACAAGAGTTACAGATGAAAAAAAAAAGAAAATATACAGAAAAATAAGGAGAGATGGTGGAGGCAAAAACCTCTGCTTTCATTTTGGAATTAGGCTATTTTACACTGATGCAGAGGTTATCCAGTTGTGGGTTATTATTGATCAGATTCAAGAAGATCAGCTACTGTAGAGTCCTCTAGTTTGTTTTATTTAGAAAAAAAATCTGCCACCATGAAAACAACATTTAAAACCTTTAAAAGTCCTGAGCTGTTGCTGGCATGCCTGCAACAAGTGGGATCTGGCAAAATTATATCCCTTAGATTGCAGCTCATTGTCAGGGATGAATGAGATCCATGAGGGGGTGCCATAGACGTAGCCAGTCAACTCTGGAGATGTTCTGAGTGATAAAATTAAGTGAGGCTGCCAGAGGGAAATTATCCACACCTGCCTGGTTCAGCTCCAGCCCTATTCCTTGAGGTAGGCAATACCCCAGCAGTGAGGCTGCTTGAGCACAAGCACGCGGTGCAGCTGGTGTTGTGCTCACCTCCATTTAATTGAGTGATGTCCCCTGAATGCCTCTTTCCTATTCTTCTAGGAGAATTGCTTAAATTTGCATCTGATTTCCATAACACATCCTTACCTGCCATTTGCTCAAACAGAAATTAACTTCCAAGAATAAAACGGTAAATGAGATAGCAGCTCTCCTTTTAATTTATTTCCAATAGCTCTTCGCTTTGTTCTGGGTGTTTATTTTCTTTTTATGTGCACTTGTTATGTTTTTGCTATGATTTCTGCAATTTATATGCTAGATGAATACTGCAGTAAAGGCTTTGTATTAAAAGCAGCATAGAAGGGAAGTTTTCCTGTAGATGGCTGCCTATCACAATGCCTTTTGAATAGAGCATGAAAACACTGATGTCAAACTTGTTATAGGTTAAGGCAGCCACAGGCATGTTATGGATGCCTTTTCAATCTTTAAATTGAAAGGAAAATAATATATTTCAATGCAACTATACTGCAATTACACTTTGAGTATATTGCACCCATATTTGTGTCCATTATTATCAGCAGCATATCAAACAACTAGGAGGATTTAGGCAAAAAACAACAAAACTGGTGACAGTCCTGGAGGGAGGGACTGTACGTGCTGCGTGCCTACAGCCAGCCATGCATACAAATACAGAAACTGCCCTGGAACAGCCTGCACACAGAAAGTGCAGCAAGCTGCACATGAGGCAGAGGAGCCGGGATGCTCGATGCTGAGGGGTGCAGCAGCTTCACATCACCCTCCTGGGGAAGCAGAGCCCAGGATGCACCCATCCTCCATGGATACCAAAAGCAGGAGATGCTCCTTTTAAAATAAATAAAGGAGGAATTCTCCCCACCCATTTCTTTTCTGTGGGACAAGGCAAGAGACAGATCCAGCCGGGGTATGAAGAGCAGCTCAGTGGCCAGCCATACCTCATCCGGCCACGCTCAGACACATTTGTCCTACAAACACATCTGACCCTGCCAAGCTAACAGCTTTACTGGACTTGTAAAAGCTGTTCTGGTTGTCAGATTTATTCCACTTGAAAGGACTGCTGCTGCATTAAAAGGAAATAATCTACAGTTAGAGCCAAGTTTTAAATCAGGCATTTGTAGAAGTCACCAGACACCTCGGGGATGATGGGCAGGAACAGCTAGTTTCCTCATCAGGCTTACCATAAAATTTCTGTCGAGCTTTGTCAAGATGAAATATCCTCAGAAATGTTAGGGAAGAGCAGTTTGCTACCCAGACCACTGCCCATGAAGTTTGTGTGCCAGCAGGATTAGCAGACATGCACTTATTTCAGATGAAGGTACCTTCATCCCACTGCAGATTTGGGTTCGTGTACTGTGCCAAACCTACTGCTCCTGTTACAGCTGGGTCTCTGCAGCTCAGCCACATCTCTGCTTATTAGCTTTTAATTACAACTAGCTATGTAGCAGTAAACCCTAAGCTTGCTGGGCACATTTAAACACCCCAGGCACTGAATCTGCCCTCCCCTGGGTGAGGCTGGGCACCCACCACTGAGCCGTTCTCTTTCAGTTGCAGAACTGGTGAACAGCAGCAGAAAAGGCATCAACGTCACGATCATCGTGCTTCTGGTCCTCAGCTTACTCAGCTCCCTTCTGAGCTCAGGATTTACATTCACTAACGCTGTGAGCAATCCCTACCAGACGTTTCTGGGACCCATTGGAGTCTACACCTGGAACGCCATAGGTGGTGAGTAACGTGTCCTGTACTGAACACTTTCTGCATGCTCTGCAGATTAATACTATATCCTCATTGATGCCAAGGTTAAGAAATATATATTAAAAAAAGAAACACTTGAAAATGTGTTCTGTTCAGCTGTTTTTTTTTTTAATGGTTTTAACCATATCTGCTAGGTTATCTTAAAGCTATATTTTACACACTGGTAAAATCCAGCAGGAAGCTGGATTCACTGGCAGCAAAATGCACAAAGTGATGCTACTGCGCATGTTGGGGTGTCACATCATGGCAAACATGATACACATCAAGAACAGAGTAAGCTGACAAATACAATGTTAAACCAGAACAGAATTGTGTCCATGTATATGACTACAATGCAATTTGTAATCTCTTAAAGACTCTGTGCCCCTGCTTTATGGTATTTATAGCGTAACTGTTCCTGGGTTACCTGCATTCCAAATTAGGCCTCTAAGGTCTAATCTGGGAGATGGATAATAGCTTCACTTCTGAAAAATGTGTTGAATCAAACACATCTAAACCAGCATTAACATCAAAAGGGGAGGTGGTTAGAAGGGCTGAGTCACGGCAAAATTTATTTCCCTCTGTAAAAACACTTGCAGAGATCAAAATAAGTTTTAACATTCCCTAAGCAGAAAAAATGGTAGAGGTGCTGAGCTGTCAGAGCCGTGAACTCTGCCAAACAGCTCCCTGGAGGTGCAGGCTCTCATTCAACCAGCAGGCTTGCATCTGGCTTCTCCTAATGCACCTTGCTACACTCTTCATCTTGCTACGGTAATGACTGCAGCTCTCACACTCGATTCGTCTCGAGAGGATTATGCTTTCCTCTAATATTAGGCTAGCACTGAGAGAAATTCCTTTTAAGACATCTGATTATGGGGTCCTTCAGCACAGGTCCCTCAGGCACGCTCCAGGTCCGCATGCCCACCTCGCCTGCAGACAGCTCAGCAGTAGGGCCACGCGCTGTGTGCTGGTCCCCAAAGCCCTCAGTGCTCTGCCTTGGCCAGAATCTGACCTCAGGGAAAAGGGAATCATATTCAGGGATTAGAACAGCCCCAATTGTAGAAAGTACAGGTGTGAAAGCCACCCTACCCCAGCTGTGACTAATGCAGCAAGCATATAAATATAGATGCTAGGACAGATGGGGATGTCTTGAAACAGTTAAAAAAAAGAGCAAAAGCCTAAATTACACCATTACTCAACTTTTGGGACAAGCAGATTGGTGTCTCATTGCAGAGGAAAGCCCAGCTACCATTACGTAGGGTGGATCCGCAAGAATTGCACACTGGAACAGGCTCCCCAGGGAAGTGGTCACTGCACCGAGCCTGACTGAATTTAAGAAGAGATTGGACTGTGCACTTAGTCACATGGTCTGAACTTGGGTAGACCTGTGCGGTGTCAAGAGTTGGACTTGATGATCCTTAAGGGTCCCTTCCAACTCAGGATATTCTATGATTCTATGATTCTATGAAATGAAAGAGCTTGCCAAACAAAATATTAGTGAGAAAGTTGACCAAGGATTGTGGTTACTTTGTACAGCCCTCCAAGTGCAATGACCTGGAAGTGTATCTTACCGCAGGCATATTTTTTTTTTGAGAAATCATGCATCATTTGATACGTACCTAGAAGGATCTTAATCTCTGCACCAGATGGCCTGACATCCCGGTGTCATCCTTGCTGAACCTCTGTCAGCAGGAGCACGCGTAGGGTGGTGCATCTGGAGGGAAGGAGCAGAAATATTTTCTCCAGTGTACAGAGGTTATACTTCTGCTAGCACTATGAAAGCAAATAAGTAAAAAACATTACTGGGCTAAATATATCAAAGTAACCAAGCACCATCTATATTAAGGCAACTGTAGGAAATGGATACAGATCCAAGACATCTCATTTTGGCTCATCACAGTAGCTGAATAATTTGGGTAGGAAAGAACCAAGCCTCCAAGTTTAAGCTCTTGCTCAAAGCTGTGCTAGCACTGAACTCAAACCAGGTTGCTCAGAGTCTTATCCAGTTGTTATACCACATATTCGATGAATTTGCATTCATATCAAATAGCCAACCTGCAAATCACCTGAGGGGTGAATATATTATATGCATCAGCACCAAATGCAATGGAAAAAAAAAAAGAGGACTTTACACAGCCTTATCTAAAGATAGTCAATAAGAATCCATTCATTTTAGCAGAAGATAGTTTCCAGTGTCAAAGCATCCACCCTTCTAGATGGTACAAATGTTCTTTAAATGCCCTCAGATTTTATTAACAGAAAATATTACTCTCATTTGTTCTAGTCCTGGCATTCTAACCAATTTAAGTGGAATCTTTCCAAGTAGCAATTTATATAGGTACTTAATACAAGTATTTATAACACAAATAATATTATGTTTCCACCCCTAACATTTGCATTTATATTTTCTAGGATTCTTCACGCTCATAGTCATGATACTTTTTGCAGTGAACGTGCAAGGCAACAACCTGTCTGTAGAGCTGGCCACCAAATGCGCTTCTATTCAGCAGAACCATACCGGATCTAAACACAATTATGATTATTCCTACTGGATCCTGCTGCTTCACATTCTTTTTAGCTGTGCTACTATAGTCATCATTATTTTCTACAGCTGCGCAAGGTATACTAAGAAGAAAGAACAGGAGAGACCAATTGAAAACGCATCCAAAGACGTCATTCTGTTTTAAGGATATCACTGAAAAGAAGGTGTAAAAGAAAAAAGTATTTAATGTGGACAATCACGGCCAATAATTTATGTACAAATTGAAGGTATGTGTATAGCTCAATTAACAAAATAGCCTGTTGCACCTCCAAAGCAGATTGATTCTACCTTACAATGTTAGATGTTATAAGCAAACATGCTGCCTAGACACCCCAAACAGAAATGCCAGAAGTGCCTGATGCCAGTGCCAGTCACTGGGCTGGGACTTGAGGCACTGCACAGGGATTTTTATTTCTTTATTTTTTAATTTTGCTGGAAGGATCGCTGCAAATGCACCTCTAGAAGGGAAGGGGCGGCGGCACAAAGAGCTGCTGGCCACTGCAAGCCTGAGGAGCCTTTGCAGCCACGGCCAGCCCTGGAGAGCTGCAGCACGAGGACTTGGGGGCAGCTCGCTTCTTCATGTGCTGCCTCTGCCTGTCTGAAAGCCACATTTGTGCCAGCCCTGCTGCTGCACAGCACGGAGCGGGTGTTCCCACCTCCTGCTTTCAGGATCTTGGCCACAGGACAGAGCTGCACTGATTGCACCAACACTGGTGCGTTGGGAATGCAGCTCTGCTTCGCCCTTTGGGTCCGAAGGTGAAGATCAAAGAGACTGGATTGCATTTGCCCTCTTGCACCTCAGGGGCAGAAGCAGTGCGAACACAAGGACTGCTGGAGATGATGAGAAGTGGTCATGCAGTATCAGTGCTTCATCCAGCCTGCAATTCTTGCTGCTACCCATTTTCTGCTCTGGGACCTTCTCCTGCAGGTCCTCACAACACTTCCCTGGCAAACAGGGGTGGGCTTGCAGCCCCCTTTCCACTTGGACAAGCCTCTTCACCACCAGTCACTGTGCCCCAAACCCCACAGCAGTGGCACCAATTCCTGGCCAGGCTCAGCTCGCTCAGAGCCCAGCTGGGGAGGCACAGTGCTGCAGTAGTGAGGGGACTGGCAGCCTAAACAAGACAGCACAGCAGCCCCATATCGAAGTTCTTTGTCTATAGAAACCTTAGCAGAACCTGATTGAACTCTATTTATAGACATTTGATAACACAACCATAAAACCCCATAAAGCCGCACCTGCGTTGGGTGGGGCTGTCTGCTCTCCCACAAGCTGTGTTAGGCTGTCATTTTGCCCCCATGGAAACGCCAAATAATGGGCTTTATTAGTGATTTAGGGACAACTTTTTTTCCATATTTACAGCGTAAATCATATATAATGCCTACATAACCACACACAACAGCAGAGCTGTGCAGAGGGGATGCACTCCCATCCCACTATGCCAAATTTAGCAGCTGAGAGTGACCTTTCCCTGGGCAGGGACACAGGGAGCACACTGCTGGGTGAAATCACTCTCAGCACACATGTTCCTGGAGACGAGCACAGCACAGGGCAGTCAGCGCTGCTGCTCCTTTGCTCCATACCTCTGTAGCTACAAGAACAAGTTTTTATTGCACCTTTTTTTTTCCTTTACAATAGGATTTTCACAGTCACGCTTGGTGTCTGTCCTATGATGCAAGAGATATTCATAGAAAAATATAGCATCTCTGGGGAGAGTACGAGAAGACATACAAGGCGACTTCTTACTATTTATGTCAAAAAATAAAGCTTCAGCATTAAAGTGCCCTGTACTTTTTGCAGCTGTGCTCTTTCAAAGGAATCAAAGCAGAGTGCCTGTTTTGTAAGCATTTGACTAAAAGTAAGATGAGGCAGAGTGGCGGGGGTATAAAAGAGGGTTTCGAAGACTTGAGGAGTGGGATGGGTCAACATCGCTTATTGCCTTATCTCCCCTCCGTTGCTGACAAGAACCATGCCTAGAACTGCCTCTCACTGCTGTAAACATTTCAGCTAAAACCTCGGATATTTTGCACCCGCGAGCTAAACTGGCGGGAAGTCAAACATTTGCCAGTTTTGCTTTGGCTGCAAAAATTTTCACACAGTTCCAGCACGCATCTGTCACCGTAGCGCTCCGCCAGCATCCATCACGCAGCACAATTACGCTCCTATCAGGCACTGGCATGGAGAGAAATGAAGCCGTAGCAGAGTAGTGTCGGAGGGGAGGAGGCTCCTGCTCTGAGGAGGAGTGGCTCACCATTGCTTCGGTGCTTCTGTCATACTGAGGGGCTGTCTGAAATGGAAAAAAATGGAAAAACAGGAGTGATTCTTTTAGGAAATGTTCCCATTTCTGGGTGCTGCAAAGGAGGCACAAACCATGCAGGTCACAGCACAGGTGAGCTCACCCAGCGAGGGAAGCACAGCAGCAAGAGGCAGCAGGTGATGGGTGCAGATGGACACTACAAAATTCTCTGTTTCCCCAAAGATGTACCAACAGCCCTGCAAGGCAGCAGCGAGATGCTGGGCTGAATGGGGGCTGTGCAGGGTGCTGAGGTATGAGGAGGAGAGCTCCTGTTTGTAAAGAGGCCATAAAAATATCAGCTGTTGGGTAACTGCCTGGATCTGAAAGCACCTGCTCCAAATTAAGTTACAAAATATGAGCCCCCTGGAATAAAGTCACCTGTGAGAAGAGAGCAGAGCACACAGAGCTCTGCAGGTGGAGCTGGCCTGTGGCACAGATACTTGGGAGGAAAAAGCAAGAAGTCAAACAGTTTAGGTATCTATTTCCTGCATCAGAGTTCAGTAAGAGGAGATCATGCATGTCCTTGCAGCCCACTGCTACCAGATGAAGGGGGTGGGAAAATGCAACATAAACCAACCTCGTGATTTGCTTTTAGGATATCAGACAGGAGTTGGTCTGGCTCTAGCCACCCAGCCAGCCTTTGAAATGAATGGAGCTGAATTCAGCGCATTTCTTCTCCTAATGAGAACAAATCCTGGCAGTTTACCCTTAGGTTAAAAAAAAAAGCTTGCACTGTCAGCTTGATGCACTCCTGAAAGGAAAAAAAAAATAAAAATCAAGCTCCCATCTTATCTAAAACCAGGGTAATTTTACCCATTCATCACTCTCCAGCAGTTGAGGCCAGGAGCGATGTCTGGCTGGGTCCTGGGAAGGCTCAGGGATGGGGCTGGGCATGGCTCCGGGTGGTGCTGAGCACACTGCTGGGCACAGCCAGCACCACGCCTGCCACCAGCATGAACCCGCAACCCACTGCAGCTCATGGAATCCCTGCTGGGAGCGTGGCAGCTGGAGAGGAAGGAGGCAAGGAGCATCCAGCAAGACCTCTGCCCCTCCTCTGAGGGGCAGAGCAGGTCCCTTTGCCTTCTTTTTCTGCCCAAGCAGAAATCCACGGCCACCCCTCAGCCCCATCCACACCGTCTGCTCTAATACCCACCCATCCGAGCAGCAGCAGTGGCTAAAGGAGTCACCTGCGTGCTTCTGCTAGAGTGGTCACAACCAAAACCAAAACACCGACCAGGTATTAAAATAGCCAGATACAACATTATCTGGTCAGGAGTTCCTGCTTCAGAAGCTGCAGAAGCTGTTTCCTATTAACCCCAGATCTGTTTTAGCTCTGTGGTTCACTTGAAAAGTTTCAACTTGTGCAAGAATTGCACCAAGCTCAGCAACTGCAGAAATGCTGAAAAGCAGCAGCTTTTCCTTTGAAAACATGGAAGATCCACGATACCCAGTAACTCAGTTACCTTAATGATTAGCAGCAGCTGAAAACATTTAATAGCACACACCACAAACCTCACAGCAGGCAGACGTAATAATTTTTGATGTCGGAATATCTACTTGACAACACGGCAGAAGCTAGTTAACTTCACAATTATAGAAAAAAAAAAAAAGAGCCAGCACGGCTTTGCTGTTAGCCACAGGCAAAGCAGCTCAGTCAATAAAACCAATTCCTGTCCCCCAGGAGCAATTCTGCTAAAGAGTCATCCGGCTCACGCTATTTAAAAATCTCTGCTCGCGGGAGAGCTGCCAGAATTAACAATCAATGTTCTAAATCAAGCGCGGCATCGCCGACGCGGTAATGATTTTTATTATAGAAGTATCAGAGAATTAAAAATAAATCTCTCCCCCAGCCCCAGGGCCGTACAGCAGGTCTGGACAGAGGAGCCTGAAGCCAGCACGGGATGAGCAGCAGCATGCCCCAGGGACACTGGCTTTTGCCAAAGTGACAGGGGACAAAGCACACGACCACAGCTTTTTTCCTGAGCATCCCTTCTGCAAGGGAAGCTCCTGTGACAGCTTCTCAAATATAGGCCTGCTCAAAGAATTTTTGCAGGAAAATGTGCAGGAGAGCTTCAGCCTGACACTGATACAAGCATTTTATTCTCATGGTAACACATATCAAAGACCAGGTTTTAGTGCCTGGCTGGGTGTGAGGTCCCTCTGGAGGGGAGCTCTGCCACAGAAACCCCAGAGAAATCCCCACTTGGGAAAACGTGCTGCAAGGACACAAATCTTTTACCTGGATCTAATTCAAGTGTCCCTTCTCTGGATTTTTTTTTTTCCATCAGTGCTTCAAGATCAGCTCTCTGCTCCTTTATCTTTTAAAAGCATCCTTGATCAGCATTACAGCTTTGATGAGTGCCTCTCAAGTTATTCTTTGGGGAGGATGCTGTGGCACCCCTCGCATCACAGCGCAGCAGTGCTGGGGACAGGAGGAAAGACCTGGCAGGTGCACACATCTCAGCTGGATAACAGACCTTTGCAAAATGAGATCAGTGTCAAAACACAGCTGAAAGGAAGGAAACCTGCTTAAAAACAGGCTCCAGACAGGCAACGAGACTGCGACCTTCCTGCTCTTCACAGCACTCTCCGCAAGGGGCACGGCTCCCAGCAGTGCCCAGCGAGCTGCCCACTGCTTTTTGGGTTTTGATGCATCAACTGCAAATCCTCGAACACAGACATGGCACGAAACTCACTTTTCTAGGAGTCAGGCTTTATATGGTGGTGACAAACATTTCCATGAGCAATCCTGACACCCTGTTAGGGAAGTGAACCTCCCAGCATCACCTGGCTGCTGCTGGAGGAGCACATCTGGAATGGTCAAACTGCACCAAACCTGCAGCTTGCTGGTAATAAAATATATAAAAAAAAATATATATATATAAAAAGAAGGATTCACTACCCAAAATTAGTGTGAACAAACACATGAGCTGTCTATACTAGGTTAGACTACTTATATTTGTCATTATTCCCTATCAGTCACAGACCTCTGGCTGCACCCAGCATGAAGGGTGCCCCAGCACTGCAACACACCTAATTTCTGCCCAAAGGTACACGTTACTAGGCAGCACTAAGCAGTAACCATGGCACTTTTCCATGATACAAGTGTGTTATAGCTTACACTATGAGATTTTTATCTGGATAGGCACCTCAGCTAACACAGTTTTCCTTTGGGCACCATAAATGCCTGAGTAGGTGTACAACAGCCCACCAAAACACAGCCATGCATTTCCAAGCTTTCATTCAGAATACCCTAATCCTTTGGGATTAGGATATATTCCAGAAGTATATATATATCCTATATGCCAGAAATATAATATAGTTGACTATAGCAGAGCTCATGCTTTTGAATATTACCATTCAATTTCTGTAATTTATGCCAAAAAAACAAGTTCTCTTAGAGGAAAAAGGACTGAAAAGCAAGGGAAACAAAGCCCCCCAAAACAGCATTCTCTGCAATAATCCCGGACACGGAGAGTTATCTTTTCCTGTGCAGCCTGTGCTGTCAGGCAGCTGGGCTCTGCTCCTGTGCCTTGCAGGAGACCTTTGGCAGGGGACCGGGGGCTGCCCTCAGCTGCCCACCGGGAACCTTCCCCGCTCTTCGCCTTGGAAGCCATGAGAGGGCAGCAGCCTCCTTCCGAGGAGGAAATACCTGCCTTTGCTTTTTTTCCCCTTTCTATTCTGTTTTTCTTTGAAGCAGGGACTGAAAGAGAGAAACAGAGCCTTCTGCCAGCATTGTCTGTGTGCATTTCACATGTACACTCCGAGACAAGAAAACAGAAAAGCGTTCCCCAAATGGCACATTGATTTTAGGTGTGCTCTGCTCAACCACCCCACACATCTGTGGGCACCCTGGAAACAAGCACAACAGGTACAGCATAGAAGGCTGATGGCTTGCTTATACAGGACCCCTGGAAAAAAGTTTTCTTGACTACCTACCAATATTAGAAAAGATAATTACCGAAACTACAAAATAAGACACAACGATGCACGTGAGCCTGGGGAGCAATTCAAAGCCTCTCACTCAGAGCTGATGGTGTAGAATTCTGTAGAGCTAACAAAGCTATTGATTAATGATGGATGGAAATATAGAGTCAAAGAGAAAGGATGATTTCATTCAGTCCCAGTTCTCAAAGTAAGGGTAAAAATAGTGTTTTGCAGAGATTGCCAAGAGAGCATTCATTTATATTTCTTGACAACATCCCAAATAAGAATAAAACAATATTGCTCAAAACTATTTTCCAAATATTTCTAGTTATCTTGTGGGTATAGGGAAGAGAAGACATCCGTGACCACAAATGGGGTGGCTCTCCCCTTCCTCATCTGAGATTTTTAAGAAAATTATGCATTGTGGAATTGTATTATGCTGCAACTTGTACACATTTTCCAGTGCTGAAGTTAACTTTCTGATTAAGAAATATCTGCTTTTCTTGGATTAGAAAAAAAATCAAGGATGTTTAATTTCTACATTTTTAAAACTTTTCTGAAAGTGCCCCAAAGCACAAGATTGTGAGTACAAAAGATGGCCAGCAGTGTTGGAAATCCTGCAGTGGTGACCAAACCAACTCTAAACAGTATTTGGACCATTTATTTTCATGCACATTTTTGCATGTTAAGGATCAGATTCACCTTCCATTGCTCATCTCCCAGTGCTCCCATCTGTCTGTTGGGACTATTTGAGAAGTGACTATTTCAGAAGTGTCATTCAGTGCAGAGAACCCAAAGTGATGGGAAACACTCAGACTATTGCGGATCAGGGCAATACATCAATGTGCTGGTGCTCGGTCTGTCTACAGCCCCAAGGTAACTGTCAATGCTAATAAAGCCACTCAAAGATGGATGATATCCTAATTATAGGAGCTTCAAAGAAAATCACTAATTATAACAAAACTACAGCTTAATTTCCTAAGGTCTTTGGGGCTTAACATACACATTGTCTTCTCCTGCCTATGCTCTACTTATGTGCAGTTTCTGGCCTTCCTCCCGAATCTGAAGACTCCATTTATGAAATACCATGGCAAGGAGGAAACAGAAGCATTTAATATAGTGTGCCAAGAAATCACGGGTTAATATTTAATCACACCTCTCCCCCCAAAATTTAGTAAATCTCATGAATTTCTGCGTTGCACCACTGCCAAACACTTCAGCAGAAACTGTTTCAACAGTGGCTTTTGACAACAGTTTCACAGCTAGCGTAGACTACACGTACAGGTTAGATATGCTCCTTCCCAAAAACAAAGAAGGATGCATTACTGGAACAGGTTCAGAGAAAGGCAACGAGGGTTGGAAAGTGTTCTTGCCTGACCAGTGACTAAGGCAGCAGGCGTGCAGCGGGGCCAGCCCAGCACCACGGGGCTGTACCAGTGCACAAGCTGCCAGCTGGGGCCGACAGCCACAACCCATGCCCACATTTAGACACTCCACTGCTACAGGCTGCAGCACTAAGTGAAAAGTAAAGTAAAATATAAGCTATGGGTCTAGAAATGGTGTAAAATCCAGAAGCCTGTCCCCTTATGACCAAGACCCAACACACAATCTCATGGGACAGATAGGAAGTGTTCGTACAGTCAAAGCTGAGGGTCAACATCAGCTGGTGGCTTCACCAGCAGTTCCCAGTTAGGGAGTACACCCAGAGAAGTTAAAACCTGGATTTGTTCTGCTAAGGGGGCTAGAGACAAGCACCAGGAGCTCATTCTCAGTCTGCTTTGGTGCCTGAATGAGCTGCAGGGTCAGCAATGCACGTGGATGACACAGGACATGAGGGGATGCGTCCTTCTAATGTCCCCTGTCCTGGTGGGAACCTCCCATTACCACATCAGCTCCAGCACTGCCACAACTCCACTACTCTCACCTGCTAGCACTTTGAGCTGCCTTTTAGAAAAGGCCTCTTCCCAAACCTCTGTGACTTTATTCTTTGTGACACAGAAGCACGTTAAAGCAGCAGCTGAAATTTTCCTTTCCCAGGGGGAGCTGCTGCGTCTGTGCTGGGGAAAAAAAAAGTTCTGCTGATTTTATAAAAAAGCAATTGGAAATAAGGAAAAATAGGAACTTTCATTGTCCTTAGTGGGCTTCAGATGAAGTTGTGAACAAACTAACGTGACAATAACATGGATCTCTTCATATTTACCCTCCCTAATCTCATCTCCCTTTTCCCGCCTCCATTTAAAGATAACATGGATTAGAGAGACCCAAGAGTAGTTTTTGCTTCAACCACCAAGTTCTTGAGAGCATTTGTGCATCTTTGTGTGTGCATTTGGGGGGAGGGAGCTCCTTTAATACCTACATTAAAGTCACCTAACAGCACTAAGAATCAAGCACTTCTGCACACATCAAATCATTACTACAACACTGACACACCACTGAATAAAAAGTGCAAGAGGTTAAGCACAGCAGTAAATAAATTAATTATAGAAGTGCCATGTTTAGAAAACCCCATAAAATTACAGGAATTGCAAATTAACCATAGTGAAGGGCTTCAGTAATATTTGTGTATAACCACTGTTATAATAACTAGATCAGATATTCCAAATACATTACTATTAGCCAATACTAACACATCAGACTTATTGTTTAGAAGACTTTTCTGTTCGCAGACTTGTGTTTAGAAGATCACAGGATGACCACACTCAAATGATCCACAGAAAGATCAGACAAGTCCTTTAGGACATGCTGTCACATTAAACCTTGCCTGCATCATAGCTCAGGAATACCTGGGCAGGTGTTTGCCAACACCATAGCCCACCCTTGTAGGAGCCCTGGGACTGCACCCCAAAAAAAGACATGAATTTTGAGAATAGCCAGCAGAGGCATTGCACCAGAACTTAGCAGCAAAATCAAGCAGAGAATATTCTGCTTGTACAATTAATTAAAATGTTTCTTTTCTGATACAGGCCAGCTACAGACTTATTGCTGATTCTCTCAACAATTATCATTGATTTTCCTATTTTACATCACTTCAAGAAAACAAGCTACAAACACCTTCTAGTTCTCGGTTTTGCAACTTACTCATTTTCCTACAACTCAATAGTGACAACTGTTTTTATGCATAGTTATGAAGCTAATACATAAACATCGATCTGTCAGTACTTGCTCTTGTAGAGGTGGTTTCTACCTCTTTCACAGTTCTGAAACATGGCCAATGACAAGGCTGTAGCAGGAAAAGGACAATGTAGTGCTACAGAACTACCAAATAATTGCAAGTCAAGCCTTTGCAGTTGTAGAATAAAACAGATTTCAGTGTTGAGTGACAAAGATTGAAACCTGCATATCTTCTCTTCTTTCTCAGCATGAAAGAGATGACTCATTTGTAAGAAACAAATCTCCACTTCCCAGTAGGTGACTAGGTCTGGAACTTCACAAATGCTCCTCTACTGGAGAATTGAAGATATGGGCTTAGTTTTCTTTCAGATTTACACACACAAGATGTCTCTGCTCTGATGTCTAAATCAGAGACAAAGAGCTTGCATTAAGGCTCTGGTCAAAGCTCCTGGAAACACAGGAGCATCAGATGCAATCACTACTCTGCAAAGTGGCACAAAACCTCCAGTATTAAGGTTGAATACTTTAAAACTACTTTCCACATTATAACCATATTATACTCAGTCAGTTACATCAGTGGTTCCACATACTGAATTCACAAACATCTCCAACTAAGCCAGGCAATTATAGCCCATGAATTCAGTGCTGAATTTATCAGAACACATCACAGTATGTATTTGCCCTGATCTGTATACCATGACCATATTACCAATAGCTGCTTTCTCTCACCAATCACACATTTGTGTCCATAATACACTCAGAGAACACAAGTTGTTCCAACCTAGACCTGTTTTGAAGGAGATGACGTTCACAGACACAAACCTTCAGTGTTTTCAGCATATGTTGAAGAGTTTGGGGTAACTGGTTTTCTACACTTTGTGCATGCAGATTACCAGAAAAGCCTCATTTTCCACAGCGACCTCAAAGGGGAAGAAAACGTAGGGGCTTTTTGTTTGCTTGGGGTTTTGAAAATCAGGTTGTTTTTTTTCATTTTTTTTTTCCATGATGACATTTCTAAAACTTGAGCAGTTGTCTTTATTTTCAAAGAATTAGTTTAGATGTCCATCTTACAGACCACAGTATCTCTGAAGAACCTGAAAAACCATTTAAGTAAATGCAATATCTTCCAGAGGCTCTGGAAAGCAGCAGGTCCCATTCCCATCCTTTCCTCATCACTTCACACCTGGGTACCTTCCTGTATGTGCAGTACAACAGAGGCAGTGCCCGTAATACACGTGGTCTTCCTGCCATCCTCTCTCACCAGCCGGAAAAATCCCCTCCCTGCTCAGCACCAACTGCCTTCTCATACATTCCCCACTTACCCCTCACTTCTGTCTGATGCCAACGCTTTGGGGTTTGTAGTGTAAAATGAAAAATCCCAGTATTGCTGGGGTTGTGTTCCCAGCCCCTGTGTCAGGAGGGCGGACCGGAGGCACTCAGAGGACATGCCACTTGCCAGGACCAGCAGCACTGCAGCTTTTGTACCTGTGTCTTAAGAGGATGTTTTTACCAGCAAGCTGTAAGTAAGAAACAAGCTTTTATGAGCAAACCCATGCATTTATCAAATTTAACATTCTGTTTGTGGGGAAGAAACAACAGCAAAAGATGCTAAACAGCCAGCATCATGCTATGTACCACAGGTTATGTGCTAGCCATGATGCTGCTACCAAGACCCATCCAGCCAAGGGAAAACAAAATAGAAACCACACAGTAAAGTATTCACAGGAATAAACCTGCTGCTGTCTGCAGAGATCAGTAAAGTCTGAGCTGCTTGGCAAAAGACACTTCTCAAGTAACAGGTTCTAATTTATCAAAGTGGCTCAGCCCATAAGTTGCTATTTTGCTGGCATGGCATCTTACCTGCAACGCAGCCATGGAGGATGAGCTGATGAGAAAATTGACAGCCCATATTCATCCATCTTCATTTGTCTGTCCCGATTGTGGGAAGATAAGTAGGGCCCCATTTCAGAGCGCTGGCTTTTACTCCCTGATACCATCTTGGAGGTTACTCACCTCCATCCCCCTTTGCTCCGCTTCCCTCAGTCTTGGCAACATGCGTTGAGACATGTTCAAGAGACCAGAGCTCCTAGACTTCAAAATGTTTTGTCCTTCCAACAACTTGTTAGACATGAAACTTTCATGGAAGAGATAGAAATAACACCACAAAGGGGTACCATTCCAGACAAAGTTTAAATGGGCACATCACTTAAATTCTGAATGGGACTTGCAGTCTCTTGTCGCAGTGCTCCCTGCAGATCAAAACTATTGCACGCTATATTGATTTTAATAACACCTCCAGCTTTAATATGAGATAATGAAAGAAATAAGCCCACAGAAGTCAATGTGTCCTGCAGGCTGGTTGCAACAAAATGATGTGAATGAATGCCTGAGGGTGACTATTTCTAATCTGGAAATAATTTCCATTATTGAAAGCAAAGAAACAGGGTTACTGAAAACCACCTATAGCTTCTGGTCAATTCTGGGATACCTTTATGAAACCCAGGTTGAAAACACTTTTAGGCAACTAATCAGTGACCAGCATGACAAGTACAGGTAAGACTGGCAGGAAGCTACAATATGTCAGAGTATCCAAGCCTTTAATCAGAGAAGGCAGCAGGTTAAAGAAACTATGGCATAAAAGGGAATTGAACAGGGTAGGATTTTATTTTAATAAAGGAGTCAGGGAATAGGGCAGTGACCTTTTCTGTAGATACTTCATCCTCTACGGAGGCAGAAGGAAGTTATTCCAAAAGGGCTTATTCCAGGAAACATTCCCTGGAATAGACCTGCAAGAATAAACACCAGAACTTTAATTGCTTTCACTGGCTGTCCACAATAATTTCAAGAGACACATTGTCTCTATGAAGCCGGCACTTGCAAGGATCCTACATTCCCATGTATGCTGTTGTCTGGTAGTTTGGAAGAGACATCTTTTGTACAGACAAGTATTTTGCATATATGGACTGTTGTCAAATGAAATTGAAGGCTGAATCTGGTCACATATCCTGGGAGATTTTCCTCTTGCAAATTCCAAGCAGCTGTAGCTACTTGTTAGCATTCATTAAGACCAAGAGCACTCATCCTCATCCGCGGAACAGCTTGAAGCCCAAGGATGGTTTTATTTCCCCAGGTTGAAAGAAAAAAAGATCCCTCTGATCTGATGGTGCAGTGGAACTGATTTAATTACAGCTGTGAAAAAACACTTTCAGAGCATTCACAAGCTCGTTCTCATCACACAAACTGAGACATGTCAATAAACGTGGGACATATCTGTGGATGCACTTAAACATGCCCAGGTGGCGCAGGCTGGTGCTGGTGTCCAGGGGCAGCTGGCAGGGCCTCCTCCCCTGGTGTCAGGTGCATCACTGATCAATGGCAGGGAATGTGCCTGGGGGCTGCTGCTTCCTCCAAATCCTTTTTAGAGAAAGATATTGAAGCCAGTACATTCCTTCATAGAAATGGCAGGCAAGCCTTATTTTCAAAGTCTAGCAAATAAAAGGACTCAATTTGTCATTGTCAGGATGGGGCAGTGATCTTTTCCCTCTGAGCAGTAAAAAAAACCTCCCAGCACCTAATGGTGCTTGGCACCGAGACATGATCAGGTGGAAGGAGCCTTTCCATTTGAAAGCAGATCTCATTTTGAAAGTTAGTCTTTTTAGGCAGGGTATGGCAAAGTTACCATGAACTATCTGTTATAGTTCAGAAAGTGTTCACAAACATTTCCAACAGGTCTGTGAACTCATAAATGGGGGTAAAACTCATGGAAAAATCTCCAAGTATAGTTTACCTGGCATTTCAAGCTCAAAGCTTATGTGTCTTACATCTTTATGCTGCCAGTCACACTGCTTACTGTTTTATTTCCCCTGTATCTAGCAAGACATCCCCTTACACCCGTAACCCCATTCTGAAATTCTGAGTCCCAGCACCACTGTTAAAACAGAGGAGAGCATGAACCAAGCCAGATGTGGTGTGGCAGAGGTGGGGGAAGGCCTGCTGGCATCCAGGCCAGAAGTGGCAGCTCAGAGAAATCCAGTTCTGCCCAGGTGGTGCTGAGAGCTGCTGTTCATCCACCTCTGGTTGTGAAGTTCCCCAGAAACCTGGGGCTGGGTCATCATCAGACCCAGAGCTGTCCTCCTTCACCTGAAGGAAACCAAGTTTAGTGTCCCTTCTCCCCCAGTATTTTCATGTCAGATAAATATCACAAACAACAACAACAAAAATTAACAGTGCAGTTATTACCTGAAATGAAGAGCAAAACCCCAGTGGCTCTGATCAAACATCAGAATTTTAGAGGACAGCAACACAAGACAACACTGGTGCATTTAGAGAAATGCCTCGCTAAATATCCAAGGCATGTTGGCCAGAAACTCCAGAGAAATTAAATAGCTCTGGAAGACATCCAGATACATCTAAGAGGATAGCAGGCTCTTGCATTGGCACTAGAGCTGCAGTCTACTTCAGAAGAGCTCTTCAGAGAGCAGAACTTTTGCAGAATAGCTGTGATTAAGTTTTATAAGACAGCCTAAAAGTATAACATGTCTAGAAATTGCTACAAAATTTACCAGTTGGCATGTGATTCAAGTAGATCCCAAAGAAGTCAAACAATGGGGTGTAAAGCGTTGTTCTTCTCTGCCTACAGGGATCTCTGGTGAATGCAATAGATACAAGGTGCAACAAAGAATAAAGAGATCATAAAGGTCGCTGAGGTCTAGGGAAGAGGTGAAAGAGCACGTGAAATTATAAAAGGGAGCAGAAGCATGGAGGAATGCCATAAGGTCAAGGCTTGAGGATCACTGCAGTAAGTGCTGCCCAGCAGAGCACTGCAGCAAAGGATGGATTAAGTATTTTAACTATGCACTGCCAGAGGCTGTAACAAGGATTTGAAGTTTCATTAAAGTATGAACTGCAGGTTCTTGCTACACTATCCAACACTACCCAAGCAGTCTCAAACCAAAAAAAAAACTGAGATGAATTCATAATCCGATGGAAAACTAAGCCTTTTCTGCACATCCTGCAGATCTGAGAGCTGCAGCCCTGCTGTTGCCTCAGTTGGTGTGAGGATGCACGCCTGATGCCTGCCCAGGGAGGGTGGCTCCATGAACAACCAAGCACACCTGATATCTGCAGCCAGTGCTTGCTCCATGCACAGGCCAGCAGTGTTTATATATTATGCCTCAAGTTTCTTTGTGAGAGAATGGGAGAAAGACAAATTATGAAATAATTCGAGTCATTTTTACTGAAGACTCCATTCCTTTCTCTAGGATATTTCTATTCAAGGTACCAAGTAATTGCTTGCTCTCAGACAACTCCTGGTTTACTAAGGGTTTTCTTTGATTTACAGTTACCCAGCTGGCTACATTATTCAACTTCTTTCCAAGAACTTCTTTCCGTGGCCTTTATTTTCTCCTCTGTAAATCAAGGTGTACACTGCTTCAGTGTCTGCCATGGACTTCTGAACAGTGCCTGGAAGGAATGGGCCAAACAGACTTCAAGTCCTTGCCCAGAGCCATATCACAAAACCAAGCCAAACACCTAGACTGCAGAGCTCAGCTCTGCTAATGTTTGCTTTTTAGAGTTCAAAAAGCTCTCAACTCACTAATCAGTGCAAGTACCATGTCTTGGACATAAACAGATACTTATTACTGTAAAGGTAATTTGTTAGAGTTATTTATTATCCAGCCCTAGGCCTTGACCTTTGTGCAGTTAATACAACAATTTGGTTTTCTGTACTTAATACTCTATCTGAAACTGAAGCCAAATCTCCACAAACAAAGCTTCATTAATAAAAATGGCTTGACACACCAGTGTATTACTCAGGAGATCTTGGTTTGCAAATACTTCCCCCAGCCAGCAGATTCAATTGACTTAATCCAAGTACACAAATGTGTCAACTCAAATCCAGAGAGATTTGCACCATGTGGAAACCCTGCAAGGTACCTGCAATTAGGAAATAAAATTTGATGCAGAGATTTTATGGCCTTGTTTTGCTGTCCTCTCCAGCCGCTGAACTTCAGGAAAGGCTGCATTTTGCATTGTCTTTACTGGGCAATGCAGTATGGACTTGGTTAGTGCTTCTGTCTTGCCAGTTAGGTATCTGCTGCTGATTAAAGTTTGCCATTTGTCCAATAAAAAAAAAGTGAAAATCTTCCAAGAGCTGTTAGCGAATTTCAGTGATTTTAAGATAAATATCAGTCACTGCAACCAGGACGCTTCTGGAGAAGTTTGAGAGAAAAATGGTCCCACTACAAGCCCTTTGGATAGGCAGGAAACCATAGCCTTGTGCACTAAATCTTTCCAACTGCATTGGCTTAAAAAAACAATTGCAAATATTTTATAGTTAGAAGTAGGTGTACGTATACATGAAGTGATATGACAAAATGTTGTGTAGTGTGGGGAATTGGTGGTCCAAAACCCCACAACCATAAAGGATGCCAATCCAATTCTGAAGCCCTCCCAAAGTGTTTGAGAGGGACAGCACTTGACATACATAGATACTGCAGCAAAAACCTGCAGAGAT